GTTTCCCACACTAAAACAAGGGCAAAAGTTAGGTCCACTTGACGTGTGCTGATACTTTGATCATTTCGATCTTCCTCGATCCGTGATGTTATGATCCTGTCTCAACAATGCGACGAGAAACAGCAGCAAAGGTTGAATGATCCGACTTATACAGCCATGCAGCCTAGGGTTCATTTTCTTGGGCGCGGCGGCCGTGTGTAAAAATCATATCTACGTGCACAATATGAATGTCTTTCTATGGTTAAATGGAACATTTCTAACTTAACTCAATACTGCACACGTTAAACGTTGATGACAGACTAGCCAGAAATGTACACGAATAACAAATGCAACCTATTCTGTATTGCAAGAGAACGTCATGTACCGCAAACTTTCTTTAAACTCAAAAAGGAAGGATTTTCGGATATATATTTACATGAATTTTGGCCTTCTTTTGGTGCGAAGAACCGCTTCCACAAGTTTGTAAAAGTATTGGCACACACACACACACACACATATATATATATATATATATATATATATATATATATATATATATATATAAGTATAGGCTTCGTGTATACGGAAAAAATTCCAATAACCAACAAATAATATGCTTAAAAGAGTGCTCAGTCCAGAGTAGAGCAAATATAATTAATTTTTCGAAAATTTTAATATTTGTCAACATTTTGAACACCATCACTTGATAAGACACCAGAAGTGTTGAAAGAAGTTGGCTATTTTAGTTGTGATTTTATAAAATATTTATGCTATAATTTTCGAATAAATAATTATATATATATATATATGTGTGTGTGTATGTATATATATATATGTATATATATATATATATATATATATATATATATATATATATATATATATATATATATATATATGGCAGTTGCGTGGTATTATTGAGACGAACTGGAAACGAGAGAATCTCTTGCACATGAAAGTAAGTAACCATCTAATTTATTATAATTAAAAAGCTCAATAACATGTTTAGTAATATAGATTATATGATCAATACTGTAATTAGAGGAAATATAACTGCGCAACTTTGTATCACAGTAGCTTAGGTTGTAATCAGATTATGCAAAATATACATTGTGAATAATCTTTTAAACATCTTTGTAAATTTTAGATGAAAAACCTTATGGGTTTTACGACCTCACAATCATTAAAAGGAGAGAAGGCATATCATACGACTTCGCTAGATAAGTGCACTGCAAATTTGGGATCAAAACGGCGAGGAAGTATCTAGTAGATAGAAGAATCTTTAGAAGTGTGAAATGAAATGAGGGAAATTAATTGCTAATTAAAACAAAGAGATCGGAAATAGATTTGAAAAGGCCCTAATGGGAAACCAAACAATAAAAAATGACTTCATACGTGCTGACAAAGCAAGTACTTGTCTCATACAGGAAGTAATTGTTATGAAGTCAAAACAGGAAGTGATCAAAGAATGTAATTAAAATTGAGAGAATATTATTCGTAGAAAGAAAACCTGATCTAATAAGATTCAAGGGAATATTGCCGACTTTCAGATAGAATACAGGAAGTGATTCCAAGCTTTATACGGAAGTGAAGAGATCGTATTAAAGACAGCCGGAAATGGCGATAACAAAGGGACATACATAAGCCCACAACAGATGATACAATGAGACATAAATGCGAACAGAATAAGAACTGAAAATGTTCATTTGAACACACTAATTACCTTTTACGCGCGGCCATATGTAAAAAAAATCGCACAATATGAATATCATTCATTTGTTAAACCAAACACTTATCAGTTAACTCACTACTGCATACGGTGAACTGTAAGGAATACAAAAACTGCACCAATCAATTAAAAAATCATGTAATAGACAACAAAAAGGATTCACAAGGGTATTACCAAGTAAGTGAATGTAAGAGTTCAGTCTGAAGTCGGGCGACCAGCTGACCGGCTGATCGGTTGAACTCTCTGGCTTTGGGCGGGGAGGAACCCGAACGAGGCTATGCCGAAGGGCGGAGTCTCTTTCGGGGAGGTAAACCGACCCTGAACCCGTTTATATGGGTTCAAAGGCATATTTTTGGCCGAGCCCACGGGCTATGAGATCCCATGTTAAACCGGCCTTGTGCCACATGATGCCCTCATGTGTGTGTGTATGGGAGAGTGACTAAATACTGTAAGTGAATGTAATGTATCCGACTGGATTTCGAACTCGATTCTCCGACTCCACAATCCATTATGTGCATCCTCTTCTTCTATACTGAAATGAAACTGGTACAACAACCTGAGAATTTTTTTAACAAATTAATAAAAATGCAAAATTGAAATCCGAAGATGTATTAGCATAAGGAAATATACCTTCTAAACTCTAAGCAAAGTATTCAGAAACAAAGTATTTTGAAGAATAACCGAAAATGATTATTTAAAAAAAAGATGACACTGTTGATAGTAAACACAGAAAGTAAACAACAAGAACTTGCACGGAATGTAGTAAGCGAGAAGAAAGAACTTCACATTAACTGTAAGAAGAACATGGCTGTAAGCAACAAAAAAAAAAAAAGAAAGAAAGAGTCCAACATATAAACTACAATTCTGATATAGCAAAACGGAGCCGGGGCAACAATTTGGCAAGTGTTTTAACAAATGACTAAAAGTACGGAAAGAAATACAGAGATACATTTGCACAGTGAAAGAGGCCTTCTAAAAGCTAAGTAAAGTATTAAGAAACGAATATTTCGTCAGAAACAAAGGATACTTAACTGTTATGTAATATGATTCCTCCGATATGGCAGTGAATGGTACACACTCTCCTCGCAGATGATGAAGAGACTTGAAGCAACAAACATAGTATTACAGAAAAACATCATGTACCAAACGTTTGAGCAAAAAGATGTTTTAGATAAAATAGAAACAAACTAATGCTTAATATCAGGTTGAGATAATTGAAACAAATAGGACACATAATGATGAAAGACGGTTTGAAAATATAATACTGGCAAGACATATGGAAGAGTTACAGATGAATACAACGCATAACCTACTTAGCAAACTTGAGTTATTGAATGGGGGAACAAGGTTTAGGAAACATAACCAAAAAGAAATTGATACAAAGGACAGGAAATTGTGGAGAGCCATGAGGGCCAACATCGTGAATGGACACGAAACATAGCAGAAGAAAAATCAGCAAAAATTGCAATAGGAAAATGAAAGATAAACATAGAAATAAAAGTTTGTTGTAATGTACAAAATAACTGAGAATTAAAGATGCCTCGACGAAAGAGAAGACGAAGAACGCAGTAGGAGTTTATTAAATTCTCATACATTGAACGGAAAAAAACCATGAGTAAATAAACTCCTGCTTACATCTCACTCTAATGTGGTTACTAGGCATATTTCTAAATAGGAGCATTCTATTGCCAGAGCAGTAGGGGAGAATAGGAAGTAAGGTGAGTCCTATTCTAAAATATAGGAGTTTATCGTAACTGTTATTCATTTGGTAAGTGGGAACGACGAGACGGTTTCAAACCCTACTCCGATTGTACCGTTGACTTTTGCATAAATCGCCTTGAGAAAGGTATGGCTCCATTTCTTCCTCCAGATTAATCACGTGAAAAAAGCAGGGCAGATTTAGCAACTTAGTAATGTTTGTCAGCCAGTCTATGAGTAGAATCCTGAATTCAAATCCATAGAGAAAGCAACGGTAAACCACTTAAGAGTCTTTCCCAAGAAATAATGGCTATTCGCAGAAAGTAAAGAAATAATAAAAGAAATATGATCCGCGGAGCATCATGATTACTTACATGCTGAATAAATTGGATGACAAAGGGGAAAAAGTTTATTGTTACTCGTTTCGTTTTCGTCCTTCAGAACTTCATCCGACTAAATTTGTTATGTTGGTAGGACTACACATGCGAACAACAGGGGCGCTGGGAAGTTTAGAATTTTTTTTATTTACCGGAATTTATTTAGAAACTTTTCTTTTTCTTGCCAACACTTTTGTAAGTAGGTACTCAACACTGTGATATTAGAATATCTGCCAGGGATGGTGAAACTCTATAGACATTTAGGTCGTAATAATTTTCACAAAAATATATAGGAGAAACCTCAAGGAATCCAAACAAAAAATTGTATGAACACAAAAGGGACATTTTACAAGATAATATGTCAAATGCGTTGATCACCCACCATGTCGAGACTAACCGAGACTGACCACAAATTTGAGATAAATTATGCTGTTCTGATCAAAGGAGAAATTATTCACTACAACGTAAATGTCTGGAAAGTGCCTTAATCGAAACACCCTCTACAGTAAAGATGCGTTTTGGATCTTACGACATTTCTCTATTCCTAGACGATCTTCTGATATCACAGTGTCGAATGACTTTTCCAACTTTGTCATGCAATTTCCCAAATACTGTTTATGTGTGTGTATCTGTGTGTGTGTGTGTGTGTGTGTGTGTGTGTGTGTGTCTAAAAATCGAAATAATATAAAATGTATCTGTAAAAATACAATACGAATAAAGGAAAAAGTAGATAGGTTCGTCCTTAGATGGAGTTTATGATTTTTATTTTGCTTTCATATATATATATATATATATATATATATATGTGTGTGTGTGTGTGTGTGTGTGTGTGTGTGTTAGGCCTAAAAACTGGAAGGATCGCTACCCAAATGTACGTAGTGCACCAGGTCTCTGTATTTGGCCCTTCAAAATGTCTGGATGATCCGCACGAAACCTTCACCTCTATAATCAAATCTCATGTGCTGTTGTCGGGCTGGCAGTTTCCTGTGAACTGATCTGCTTGACCCTCGAATTCGACGGGATAGTCAAGTATATATATATATATATATATATATATATATATATATATATATATATATATATATATATAACCGGTTCGCTAAGTTTTCATAATTTTATGATTCGGTTTACGGGAACCTACGTGAAATTGTAGGTTGTCACCACTGTATGTGGGTACATATATGTATAAGTAGGTGACTTCTCAGTCCCTTTGATTGATGTTATTTTCGCTTTTTTCGTGTATTTTCTTATCATTATCTATATATCCATTTTCTGTTTTGTTTCATCCTCACTTTTCTTCGTTCCTTCGTCTGTTATCTTTTTTTTTCTTTTCTTTTTCCTTTTATTCTCTTTACTTTCATTTGCTTTTCCTCGATTATATTGTTTTGCTTCGCTTACGTTTTGCTTCGTTGACGTTTTGCTTCGTTGACGTTTTGCTTCGTTTTCGTTTTGCTTAATTTGCCCAATGTTTTTTTTCAGTTTTACTCCCTCCTTGTTTCCAACGCAGAAGAATGAGAGAAAAAAAAATTAAAAACACAGTGAAAACTGCATTTTCAGTGACATGACCATACACACACGCGCGTACACTCACACACACATACACACACACACACACACACACACACACACAATGCCGAGTTTTTGTTAATAAGTACTAATTTTTTTATCGGTATAATCAACGGTAGACTGGACAAAAGCGAGAGTAGATAATTGAATGTAAGCTGCTAAACCACTTTGACGTTGATTAAAGCCTCGAAGCCTTGGCCGAATACTGATAGGACAGTAGTTAGATGGGTCAGAAGAGCCTCCAGATTTTATAAAGACAGGGACAACAGATGAGGAATTTCCAACAGGCTGGAAAACAAGAGTCAGTGAGACAATAGTTATATTGTTTGGAGAGAACTGGAGCCAGCTCCGGAGAACAATTCTTTAGAACTACAGCTTGTTATCTCGTCACCACCATATGCTTTTTGAGAGTCTAATTTAAAGATGATTTCCAATACCATAGACGGGGTTATGCTCGTCTAACTCAACAGCGATTCACTACTAGGGAAGAAATCAGGTGTGGGTACCTTGGTTGAGTCAAGTGCTAAGATTGGATGAGAATTTCTGCGCAAAGCATTCAGCCTTATGGGGACTTCTTATGCGTTGATTTTGAACTATTATAATGGATGTAGTAAGAATGGTAAGTAAGAATGTGTTGTTTTGGTGTAAGGAATATTGTAGTCTCTTTGGATCAGTGATTTTGGCTATCTATACTTTTCAGATAAATTTTTGCCTTGTGTCAGATTCATATTTTATATGTATGCAAAATAAATATAGCTTTTCACTATGACAGCTAGACTTTTTTTTTTAATTGTAGCGCAGTACTAAACTGGCTTCAAATCTCATCAATTTAAGGTTGAGCTGGATCGACTTTCTTTTCTTGCACTTCTCGCTTGTGGAATTTCTTTCCAAATGCATGCTTTCTAGCTACATTTAATCTGAAAAAAAAAGTAAATGCAATGTCAGTCGCTTTCTACAGTCCTATTGATTGATCTTTCTTCTCCCTGCTAGTTATTAATGTTTCTGTTCGTAATCCTCTCATACCCAGTACCTCAATGTGTTTTAGTGGATTTGCTATCTTGCATGGGTTGATACCAATAAAAAAAAAATAGTACTTATTAAAAATACCCCGGCATTGTGTGTGTATGTGTCTGTGATAGAGAGAGTGTACACGCGTATGTTTATGGTCATGTCACTGAAAATACAGTTTTCACTGTTTTCTTTAATGTTTTTTTCTCATTCTTCTGCGTTGTAAACATGGAGTAAAACTGATTAACACATTGTCTTACTACATCCACCATAATACCACATTGTCTCTTTGAAAATCCTAACTAGTCCCCATATGTAAAATTCACTGAATGTGGGGGAGGGGAATATAACTACAATTAAAAAAAAAACAACTAGCCCTAATGAGTATTTACAATATTAGCTCCTAAAGAGCTTATCCGGACCATTACAATGAAAGTACAGGGTGTTTCAAAACATTTGATATCCTTTGAGATGTAAATATCACAGAAAGTACATGATTAAGGCAAATGAAATTAAAAAGTATTAATGTTGAAAATCATAAGATTTATTCTTCCAAATCTGAATGAGAAATTCAAAAGCATGTGGATTATGTGAACGATTTCACAAATGTTCAATATGCGCCCCGCCTGAGACACGGCATTTTTATATCTGTAAAGAAAAAGATTAAAGATTAAAGAACATAAAAATACAAATAAGAAAAACACAAAAACATAAAGACATAAAAACATAAAACAAACATTAAACATAAAGATGCTATTTAAATTTGAAGTCATTTGAAGGAGATCTAACAAAGTTATTAGATTGCGAAATGATATCAAAGTTTTTGAAACACCCTGTATTTATAGAATTATTTCATAATCGACTTTTTGCTTCCTTTATGCACTTTTCTTGTCCGTTGTCTGTTATTCATTCTTACATTATCTTTTTCCTTATTTTTTCTGTTATTCTAATTTAAAATATTGTCTTTCCTTTAGTTCACTCCTTCGCATAGAAAAGCCTTCTTATACTTTTTGCTTACTCGATCTTTTGTCATATTTGAATTTTCTTTCTATTTCTCAACTCTTTCCTTCACAAAGGCATCGAACTCTCTTATTTCGTTATGTTCACTCGCAGAAAAAAATACTCAACAGTCTGCCGTTTTATATTGAATTTATAGACATTTTTAAGTTATTGCTTACTTTTGTTCTTTTGGTAGAAATATTTTCTTTTAAACCGTTTCCTTTTCCTCACCTCTTACATCTAACATTATAATGTTTTTTTATTATTTCTATGGAAAGGGCTGTCGGATCTTATCGATCTACCTTCGTCTGGTACATTCTGTCAAATTTTATTTCCAGGGTCGTTTTCTTTTGTCTTTTCTATCTATTTTTTCTAGGCTTTTTCTGCAGGCGGTTCAATATCCCTCTTTCATTCTTACCAAGTGCAGCAATATGGTGTCTTTGATTCACTTAAGAGCAAACGTTTTACTTCCATGAATTTCGTTTTTTGTTCCTTTGTTGGAAACTGGTTTTCCGTTGTTTCTATCTTTTTTTTAAAAGTCATCGGCCTGAAGACCTCTGAAGCGACATCGTCAAAACTGAAAATAGATCATTACAAGGGAAAACTGAGTATATCTATCGTTTCCGTATGCTGTAATATATAAGAACATTTCGTAATATAAATGTGTTAGAAAACTATAATTTCTATCTATCTATCTATCTATCTATCTATCTATCTATCTATCTATGTCAGTTCATATAAAGCTATTAATTTGTGTTCATTATCTATCTAAATAATGATCTAAGCTGTTTAGTATTTCTTTCCTTACATATACAGTGTAACCCGGATGTCCGAGAGTTGTCGGGACCAGAGAAGAAGTCTCTTATATCCGGTTTTCTCTTATATCCGGGTTTGGTCTGTTTTTTATACATTAACACAGGCTCTAATTTGGGAACAGAGAAAATCTCTCTTATATTCGGGTTTCTCTTATATCCGGGTTACACTGAATATCTAATGTGAAATCCTTTTCTAATCAGTCTCTCTTAATATGTACATAATCTATCTATCTACCTATCTATCTATCTGTATGTATGTATGTATATATATACATATATATATATATATATATATAGAGAGAGAGTGTGTGTCAGTGGGAAAGAGAGATACAGAGACAGAGAGAGCGAGGCGACAGGCTGTTTCATGCTAGACGCAATCGGCAGGCCACGTTTATTGTTTTTTTTTTTGTTTTTTTTTTACCTCGGCTATTTATATATATGATAACATTAGTCGTAAGAATCAATGAAAAAACACTTTGAGTTATTCAGTCAGAAAGAGAATAGCTTGACATCGTTTTGTGTCAGTCCCACTATGTCTTGCCAACTGAACAATTGTAATAGGAAAACGTACATTAACGCCGTCAGTAATGGTAGCAGCATTCAAACCTTGGCTTCCATCTTCAAAGGTCATTTAAGAATCATCAATAGAACGGTGAATAAAATTTCAAAAGATTGAACAGTAGAGAGGAAAACTGAATTACGATATCACAACAGGAAGTGGGATCATTATTGCTATTTAGAGCTAAAGAGACCAATTAGAAAAATTCCAAATCAATCCATAAGACGTTTGGTGCGTGAGAGAGGAATTTCACCTATGGCAGTCCAGAGACTTGAAAAGGAAATCATACATGAAATCTGTGAAGCACTTTGATACGCCGGAACTGAAAGTGAGAGTTCAGAGGGGGCAAAGATCATCGTGAATGTGTTGAAAAATGATCCTGGACTAATATATATATATATATATATATATATATATATATATATATATATATATATATATATATAAGTTATGAAGAACTTGGTAATCCAGAGCTAATATTTTTCGTTTCATTTCGTTGTTGGGAGTGCTATCTGATGACCCAGCGTCCTTTTAAAAGGACTCTGGTGAAATAAATTATTATAATGGTACCTTAAAAGTGGTATGTTTTTTCGTTTAAATATATATATATATATATATATATATATATATATATATATATATATATATATATATATATATATAAAAAGAAAAGAACAGTAAGATATAAAATCCGGTCTCCTTATAGATATTTTTATTTTTACAAAATAGTGCTCAATGTAAATTTTTTTGAAACATGGTTGGAACTGTGTAGCGAAAAAAAACATATTTTAAATCAATTAATTTATAATATATATATATATATATATATATATATATATATATATATATATATATATAACTTAGTTTCAATGTTTCATTAGCTTCCGATCCTCGGCTATGATTGATTAATTAATTATTGAATGAACATGCCATTTTTAGTTTATGAACAATTTAATGATGATTCTTCTGTTAAACTTGGAGAGCATTTATACATTCTTATTGTTCAAAGTAGTGTTAAAAAACCTTGGAGAATTGCAGTAAGATATCTTTAATCATTTCTAAGATACAGCGGTACAAAGCTTAATGTAATACTTGGACAATTTTGCCTTTTACACGTTTTGGACAATTTTGTTGTTACACCGGGTATATATATATATATATATATATATATATATATATATATATATATATATATGTAAGAGTTTAGGTGGGGTGGATGACTGGGAAAACCTTGCTGGTGATCGCAATGAGTGGTGCAGGGCTGTTGTAGAAGGATGTAAGTCAACAGAGGAAAAACTTTTATCACATGCAGCACTGAAAAAAGGGATTTGAGGAAAGGTACTACCAGGAGCTTGGATGACAGCACTGCAAGCTGAAAATACGAGACATGTGGTCGTATCCTACCGTCAAATGCTGGGTATGTTAATCATCTGAAATCACACGAGAGACTACATCACTCTGTGTTACCTCCACGGTCCGGCGATACTACATGTGTGATCTGAAGGGAAGTATGTGTATCGACATCTAGATTAAGTAGGCATATGGTGGTACCACAGCAACATCCGCTAAACCCTGTGAAGTCTCTAAAGCATATCTGGCAACTATGCTATAAGCTTTGCAAATCAGCTGCTGGTTTGAACGCTCAACTTCGAAGTCATTCGAGAGGAAACAATGATCTAGATTGAATCTAGGTGTTGATGAGCAAGATGGAAGTCATCTGTGAAGATGGGGCAATCAAAATGTGTGTTTGTGTGCGTGCTAACGAACCAGTCAACCCGCTGGGATTCAGAACCAAAATCGTTACCAATATTGATTCTTGTCGTCAGAGAATCGCTTATATGAAACGATGAGGATCTGAGCCCTTGATTTGTTAGTGGTACTGCTGTATCGGATGGGCATTGAGAATTTTAGCTTTTCTGTTGATAGTTTTCTGTTTCTGAGCTCCTCTCTTTCATTTCTTTTGTACGTTTCCTTAAATTTTTATTCCTTTTTCGCTATCTTTTTTGTTTTTTTCTATTTTCGCCGTATGCGAGCCAGTGATTCATTTCTGAAACACAGTGTGCATAGAAAGTGTTCAAATAATTGTGCTTTCAAGCGCATTCGTTTAATCTATTAGCTATTTTAAGCAATATGAGAGCCCACTAACATCGACACCTTACGTGCTAGTCGATGACAAAGATCTAATGCGCATCTCTCGATGCAAAACAAATGTACAAAAAGAATTGAAACTTTTATAATGAAAAGCTCCAACACAAGGCATAATAATCTTAACAACAAACACAACAACTGTGTAATCACCCTATTTGGAATATTATTAAATTTCTACCGTGATGATCAGAAAGCTTTTCTCCCTAGATCAGTTACGACTGAATAGTAAATACAATCTTCACTGGGTTCCCCATACTTTCGGCCTTGTGCCACCTCCTAAGCTACTCTTAGAAAATCAACACACAACCAAACACATAAAATAGCTCATAGATTAACTAAAATCGCTCGGAACCATTTGGATAAAAACTGCACACAAAGTACAAAAACTAATCTGTTCGGTGGATCCTCCCGAAATAGAGAATATATATATATATATATATATATATATATATATATATGGATGAGTGTTTAGTATATTCGCTTTCTGACGATTAGAGACGGGTAAGAATCTCACAATGGTTGATTTGTCAGAAAGGAGATTTCCTGATGTTATAGAGGTCGATCCCAACGGGTAGCACCTTTAGAAAGTGCCTGAAAAACTCGTCAGTGAAATTGTGCAGACGAAACTCCTGGAAGCCGTCGATAACTGTGCTAGCACAGAACCACAAGTCATCGTGGCCGAAGGCTTGAGCGTTCTGGCCTTCTTCAAATTATTGATCACGCTAGATAACCCGCTCTCTCAGTAACTAAGCTAACATAGTTGCAGTATAAACCATAGGTGGGATCTGTGTGTGTTGAGCAAACACAAATGTGCCTAAGGGAGAGTCTGCAATAGGGACTGTCTAGCCGCCCTAGTTGACTCGAATAGGAGTGGCCAGCTATTATTATTTCTTATATATACACATACATTGCAGAAAATATAAATATGTTTATAAATTTAAATGTGCCTAGGAGATTATATCTCCAACAGAAAAAATATGTATTTTGGTAATAATACTACTACGTTGTCTGGAAAGTTGAGTTTTCATTTGAATGATGCATCAAGCATATCACAGCGTTTACAACAACATGTCAGTCCACATTCATAATTTAGAAAAATTCTTGTTGAAAATACATCTATAGTTTTCCATGAAAATAATAAACATAAACTAAAATTTTTTGAAGCTATCTTTATTAAAAAATTGAAACAAAGCCTCTTTAAAATTAATCATGAATGGTACACAAATGTTTTAAAATGTTTACAGTAGGTAATCTATAATATACATGTTTTAACTAATAGTTTTTTTTTAACATATGGACATTCCAAACCTACTTACCTCCTCCGACGTTTAGTACACAGCCTTAGCGTTTTTCATATCACTGTTAAATATTTAACTTTCAGATGGACACAACAATTTTGTGTTAAAGAAACAACACTCTGATGATGATAATATGCTGATGTCGAAAGTTATCGGAATATATATGAACATGTTAATTTTCTCACTTCCATTAATAAGAAGCTTGTTCATGATTATGAGAGGATCCTATTGAAAATAAGCAGAAAAAACTCGCCTAAATAATTCAATCAAACATGTCTTAATATACATACACTTATACATGCATACATATATAGACACACACACACACACACACATACACACACACACACATATATATATATATATATATATATATATATATATATATATATATATATATATAAATTCATATATATTTGAGGGGTTAAAGAAATATCAGACAGATATTGATCATTTATTTTATTACTACGCAGCAACTGTATGTATTTCAGTATAAATCCCTTCCTTGTCACGGCACCTAATCCGATACTTTCGTAGCCACCTCATGGATTTAAGCAAATTCATTGAATGTCTCAGCTCAAAATCCAACTCATAAATATCTCAGGTTCTATTTATTCACGTTGGTATAGGAGTTATCCGTGACCTGTTTCCAATACGATACAATATTAAACTTCAATAATAATATCAGAATTGCTAAAAATAAACGAATATTCGATACGTAAGGAAAGTTATGAGAAAAGATTGGTAGTCACCATGAATGATATTGAATCCCTAGCCGGGCCAGTGTCTATTTTTGAAAGACTTTCGTATATCCTATTTAGCGTAGAAATCTCATCAACCCGAACACATCTCAGCAACAAAACGGATTATTATTCACGGTTTTTCCCAGCAATTTGATTTTTTTCAACGACTGCCAACAGGAAATATATTTAAAACTTAGAAAAGTTAAATC